GTGACTTGTAGAAAGAAGAAATAACATGAAATACATATGGGTGATCAGAAGCAAATTGTCTTGGTCAACTTTTCCTTATGATTCAATGTCAGCTTTATTGCTTAGAATTCAGTAATAATAAAGCCAGATAGGCTGTAATTCACCCATAAGAATATAATGTGGTCAACTTTTTCACGCATTGGTAGTGATCCTTAACAGGTTTAGTTTATGAATTGGGATAATCTCCAAAAGAAATTAGTTTTTTTTGAATTACTCATTACTTGACTGCTTAAAAATAGCAGCTTATTTTACTCATATAAAAACTTTGAATATGAAATAAATCTTAAAGCTTCCATATATTTTAAAGAGCAAAAGATTTTCAGATGAGTATGATTGGTGGCTCATTACCAGCTAAGTTACATTTTATGGAAATTGCATATGCTTGAAAAAGGGACTGAATTTAATCTTAAAATAATCTTTTCAGAAGTGACTTGAATTTAAACAAAGTTTAAATGTATCCTCCAGAATGAGAACACTGTAGGGAGAGGCACTGCCCAGAGGTGCTGTCCTAAGTGTTATGGGCGTTTTTTTTCATTCTCATCATGAAAGGTAGAAAACCCAGGTATAGGGGACTTGGGTGGCTCAGTCAGTTAAGCACCTGACTCTTGATTTCAGCTAGGGTCATCATCTCAGGGTGGTGGGATGGAGCCCCGCAGCACACTGGTTGTGGCGCCTGCTTGGGATTCTCTCGCTCCCTCATCTCCTCATGACTCCCACTCGAGCGTGCTCTCTCTCTCAAAACAAAACAAAACAAAACCACCCAGGCACAGATTTCCAGATGAGAGAACCTAGGCACAGGTTGGCCCAATAATTTGACAGAAGCAGGCTTCAAACCCACCTCTCTTTGAGACTTGCATTTTATATTCACAACTTTTGCTTCAGTTTATAGCATATTTGTATTCTCCATAAATGGCTTTGCTTTCATTCCTTAGACATGCCCAAAAAGCCCTTGAAAGGGCTGTCTTTCTCATTAGTTCCTACTTGTACCTGATTCTTTAATTTTACCAGTTTTCAAAGTAATGAATTGACTCCCTAGCACTTATCAAAGGGGACCAGTGAGATTTTGTTTTTATTTTTAGTATCATCATGAATTCAGCGATTTAAAAATATTTTTGTTTCGGTTCCTTACAGATACTATCTTTTTGATGTTCACATTGTCCTATCTTTGGTTAGTGGGAATCCTTTTGATACCACTCCAGTAGTCTTTGATAGCTTTCTTGCTTCCTGGTATAACAGGATGTTCCAGGGTCTTTTTGTACATTACTGCCTTTGGCCTGGAAATCAGCCATTTTCTCTGAGGAGCCCTTGTTCTTTTTTTGTAGGAAATGGTATTACGTTGGGCACAAGGGGTACTTACTCATTGCTCCGGAGTTGGTTACCGTTGTTATTACCACCCCAGTGGATAAATTTAGGAATTTTTTGTTTTGATAGAAATTTTTTTCCTGATGGATTCATATTTAGAACTTCAGAGTTTTTACTTCTTTGATTTTATATTTGTATCTCTTCTCGTATGCTAAAATCTTAATTCTGAATGACATTAACATAATAACTTATTTCCTTAATATTGTAGTTTTATAACAGCAATATTAACATGATTACTGAAAATAGTTAACTTTCTTCACATCCTTTTGTCTTTAGAATATATTCGGTAAGCGTGTACAATTTTATGTTTTAAATCCACTTGCAATAGCTCTTTTCTGTGTTGTTAAGCTACTGTCTCAATATACAGCTAAGTTTATTTGTTTTATTTTTAGGCATTCCTTTTTAAAATTTAGTATTGTTTTATCACTTACATGGTTCTAAGCTCAAATTCAAAGCTACAAGGCAAGGTCCATTTGGAAAAGTCTAGCTTTATGCCTGTCTCCTCCTCTTGTTCTCTCCCTCTTCCTGTAGGTTCCCTGTTTCTATTAGTTCTTGGTTTATCCTTCAACTTCTTAAATGTAAGTCTGTACGCATAGTAATACATCTATATGTCATATATACACATACAATTACAATTATATGTGTACATAGAAATAAATTTGTATTTTCTCCTTTCTTAGGTAAAAGATAGCTTCCTGTGCATAGTTATTTATCTTGTTTTTTAATTTGTCAGTATATCCTCAAGGTCCCTTCATAGCAGTATGTAGATATGATTCATTTCTTTTTACAATTGTATAGTGCTTCCTTATGAAGATGTACATTAGCTCACTGAGTCTTTTGTTACAACAAGACTGTAGTCAGTCTTTTGCTAATGTTGCTAGCGTTATGCATGTATCTGTTCTTTATTTTAGTTTATCTTTTTTTTTTTTTAAGGATTTTATTTATTTGACAGAGAGAGACACAGCGAGAGAGGGAACACAAGCAGGGGGAGTGGGTGAGGGAGAAGCAGGCTTCCCGCGGAGCAGGGAGCCCGATGCAGGGCTCGATCCCAGGACCCTGGGATCATGACCTGAGCAGAAGGCAGTTGCTTAACGACTGAGCCACCCAGGCGCCCCTTAGTTTATCTTTGAGGTAAAGCCCTGAAAGTGGGCATGTTGGTGTAATGAATATGTCATTTTGCCAGATATTGTCAAATTTTTCTCCATAGGATTTGTACCATTTTGCATTTCCAGAAATGCAAATGCTTTTGCATTCTATGATTCAGTAAACTTGTAAGGTGTAAAGATGTGAATTAAAAGAAAGGAAGTATCAAATAGTTACTGATAAAATGTCAAAGTTTAATGAAGACCTATTTTCAACTTCAAAGTGAATTGATCAGTAAATTATATTCAAGTGAAAATGAAATTTTCAGGGTTGGATGTTTGGTTTGTTTGTGTGTATTGTGAATAAGGATTGAAAAATATTCTTTTGGATGAAAAATAATAAATTGAGCATTAAACACTTTAAGTTCCTTGTTAATATGCTCTTCCATTTGGCAAGTGAATATTTTGGGTGAAAAAACAAGAATTAGTTTCATTTTGAGGACTCAGACTGTTTGCTGCAACAAAGAAAACATTGATTGGATTTGAAATTTGGCAGTTGCAGATTTAATAGTTATAGTTTTCATTGTCCATATATATCCTTGAAGGTTTGTGACATGTTGTAATTGTATTTTTGAAAGAGTATAAATATTGGGTCACTTCTCTTTTTTCCCAGCTTTACTGCAGGCTTTTTGTTGTCTACTTGTCTTATTTTAAAGAAATAATTTGTCAGAGAGAGGGAAAGAGGGAGAGAGTGTGCACATGCACAAGCAGGCAGAGGGAGAAGCAGGCTCCCTGCTGAGCAAGGAGCCCAATGTGGGACTCGATCCCGGAGCCCTGGGATCGTGACCTGAGCTGAAGGCAGATGCTTAACCGATTGAGCCACCTAGGAGTCCCTCTTACTTGTCTTATTTTAAACACTTTTTATTAAGGATATGAAAGAGTAGAATTTTTCAGTTTAATGATTGAAACTTTTTGTATTATGAAGAAATTAGGTGCTACATTGGTGCTTGTGTTTGGGAATTTAGGAAGTTCTGCTATCACTCGTGATTAGCACATTTTTATTGTAGGAAGGAAAAAGTTGGGAAGAGAGTTTGGGTTCCGATCATAGAAGACTTGATTCTCAGGCTGTTAAATTTGGACTTTATTCTGTAGACACTGGAAAATCAATAAAGGATTTATAAGATTTACATTCTTCAAGTGAAAAATTTGAGTGGTACACTTTTTAGTTTTAATGTAACCTTTGTGATGTAATTGCGTAGTTATGAAATACCTTTTCCTTATGGAGAGACTGAAGGGTACATGTTATTGCTAATGGCTGACTATGGTAACAGATGTTTATTGAGGCCATACTGTGTGCCAAGTACACAGCACACTACTAAGTACTTTATTTGGATTGTCCCTCTGAATCCTTACAGCACTCTGGAGAATGGAGAGAGTGTTGTCATTCCCATTCTTATCCCATCAGAGGAGAAATTTAAGGCTTAGAGAAAGACAACACATTATCCTAGATTGGATCCTGGACCTATAAGTTAAGACCATTATTGAGACAGTCCATGAAATTTGACTGGAGTCTGTTGATTGGATGGTCATATCATCGATCAGTGTTAACTTCCTGATTTTGATGGTTTTGTGGTTAGACGGGAAAATGTCCTTCTGTACTTGATATATATATTGAGATATTAAGCAGTAATGGGCATCATGTCTGCAAAACCTATTCTCAAATGGTCCAAAATGTTAACAGTTTCATAATCTGGGTGAAAGGTATATAAAAACTCTGCAACTCTTACCTAAATTTGAAATTATCAGTTGATCCTTAATCAACATGAGTTTGAACTATATGGCTCCACTTATATGTGGATTTTTTTGGATAAATACAATACAGCACTGTAAATGTATTTTCCATATGATTTTCTTAATATTTTCTCTAGCTTTATTGTAAGAATACAATATATAACACATATAAGTACAGAATATGTTATTTAGTTGACTGTTTATGTTATCGGTAAGGTTTCTGGTCAACAGGAGGGTAACAGTAGTTAAGATTTGGGGGAGTCAAAAGTTATATGCGGATTTTCGACTGTGGGGGGATTTGGTGCCCCAGCCACTGTGTTGTTCAAGTGTCAACTGTATAGTGCAATGCAAATATCTCATTCCAAGCATGTGTGTGTATGTACATATGTTTGCTGCTTCTCTTACTTACTCTAACCAATGTCATATGATAGAAAAGTTAAAAATTTCAAGCAAATTTTTATTTCTTCCTCATTATACTTATAATTTACTCAGTTTAACAGCATTAGCTATAACTTTCAAGTTTATTTCAAGTTAGATTGTTTGCCTTTTGTAGTATTTATACTCTGAGGTCACTTAATAAATGTTAAACGATAATGGTATTTTTTCTTTGCTCTTTTAAGTTTATACTTTATAATGGACTGTTAGACACATTTTATAAGTTATTTGTCTTAATTTAATTTTAAATATCACTATCAAAATAATAGCCTGCTTTTTGTTTTAACATAGGTTATCTTATGATGAGGCTTTTGCTATGGCTAATGACCCCTTGGAAGGCTTCCATGAAGTAAACCTTGCTTCGCCTACTTCTCCAGACCTTCTTGGTGTGTATGAATCAGGAACTCAAGAGCAGACTACCTCACCAAGTGTCATCTATCGGCCACATCCTTCAGCTCTGTGCTCTGCTCCTATTCAGGCTAATGCCTTAGATGTTTCCGACCTTCCCACACAACCCGTGTATTCATCCCCCAGACGTTTAAATTGTGCAGAAATATCTAATATCAGGTAGGAGATCATGAAGATCCTTATTTTGGAGTATCATGCTAAACAAAGGGACAGTTTGCTTGGTTGCCTAAAGTTTTAATATTTTAGAAATTTTGAATAAGCTCGTCCATGAAGAGGAGCAATACCTGTTAATGTTCAAGAGCAGGGGTCAGCAAACTTTTTATGTAAAGGGCCAGGTGGTAAATATTTTAGGCTTTGTCGGCCATATAGTCTCTGTTACAGCTCTTCAGTTCTGCTGTTAAAGTGTGAAAGCAGCTACAGACAGTACGTAAATGAATAAATTCCAATCAGACTTTACATATGGACACTGAATTTTGAGTTTCATATAATTTTCCTATGCCACAAAATATTATTATTTTGATTTTTTTTTTTACCATTTGAGAATGTAAAAATAAATCTTGGCTTATGAGCCTTGCAAAACAGGTAGCAGTCTGGATTTAGCCTGCATTTAGTTTGCTGACCCCTGTTCTAGAGTAGCACTATGTTTTTTTTTTTTAAAGATTTTGTTTATATTTTGACAGAGAGAGAGCGATCACAAGCTGGGGGGCGGGGGTGGGCAGACGGAGAGGGAGAAGCAGGCTCCTGGCCGAGCAGGGAGCTGGATATGGGGCTTGATCCCAGGTCCCTGAGATCATGACTTGAGCCAAAGACTCAAGACACTTAACCGACTGAGCCACCCAGGCACCCCTAGAGTAGCACCATTAAATAGAACTTTCTGTGATGATGAAAATGCGATAAGCATTGGCTGCATGTGGCTGCTAGACTTGAAATATGTTCGCTTTAGCTTTGACTGATTTTAATTTTTAATTAATAATTTATAAGTTAATTTTTAAATTAATGCTATTAATTAAAGATAGTGGCTATTACACTGAATAGTGCAGTTCTAGACCTTTGTGTTTATGCCAGGTCTGTGTGAGCATATGCTGATGTTTTCTGAATTTATCTTTACAGCATCCATGTTACAGATCCAGCGCCTTGTTCTACCTCTGGAGTCACAGCTGGGTTAACTAAATTAACTACCAGAAAGGACAACTGTAATGCAGAGAGGGAGTTTTTACAGGGTGCTACTATAACAGAGGCTTATGAAGGCAGTGATGATATTTTTGGGTTGAGTACTGATAGTCTGTCCCGTTTACGAAGCCCATCTGTTTTGGAAGTCAGAGAAAAGGGCTATGAAAGATTGAAAGAAGAACTTGCAAAAGCTCAGAGGGTAAGCAAAAAAGATGCTTTATTCTTCATTGTTTTGTATTTGAAATTAACATGTGTTCATGATGTGGGGCAACCCAAATGAAGTCATTGCAGTTCTACATTTATCTTCCCATGTGTACAGCCTCAGTTCCTGTTGGGCAGCATCTAGGCATCTGTGAAATTGATGGATTAGTAAAGAAGCTCATCTAAGAGTACTCACTGGAAAAATGAGAATCTGAAACTCTTTTTGTGTTACCTACATTGCCTGCTCCCTGTCTTACTTATCATTAATGCAAATTTTGTGGGTTATGTTCCATGTGTGGGTTTTCCCCTTCTTGTGCTTGACTTTATGGTCCTTCACTTGAAGTCAGTTAGTCCAAGTCATTTTGTTTTGAGGAATTGTTTAGTAATAATTACCTTTGCCATTCAGCTGGGCTTGAATATTTTCTGTATCTTATCTTGGAGAATTTTCTTTTCTTGGTAGTTTGTTGTATTTCCCATTTGGTCATCTTTAAAGTTCCTGCTGTCTATTCCCAAATTTGTGGCTATGTCTTATTCTTTTTATGTGAGTGTAATTAAATTTCAGAGGGAAATTTACAGCACCAAATATTTATAATTAGAAAAAGGGGAAAGTCTTAAATCAGCATTCTAAGCTCTCACTTTAAGAACCTAGGAAAAAATAGCAAAATCAGAGCAAGCAGAAGGAAGGAAGGAATAAAGAGCAGAAATCAATGAAATTGACAATCGAAAAGCTAGAGAAAATGAAAGTGCTGATTTTTTAAAAAAAAAATCAGTGAAACTGACAAACATCTAACAAGACTGACAAAAGACAAATTATCAGTAGCTGGAATGAAGCAGGATATCACTGCAGATGCTGCAGATGTCAAAAATACAATAAAGGAATAATATGAATTTGACAACTTGGGTCAAATGGACCAATTCACGTTTAGAAACTTGAGAAGATAGGACATTTTATATGTGCGATTTTTAGCATGTTATGACATTTCACAAGCATATATTCCCACCGTCTTTGCTACCAGACTTGTCTCTTAAGAGTGTAACATTGATTTTTGTATCCCTGGTGCTTAGCATAATATAATACGATGGCTGGCATATATGTCTTCTTATTAATGCTTCAGTGAATGGCTGATAACTAAATAGCCATGCAGATATGTTAAAACATTTTGATTAAATATATTTTATCATAAAGAAAAATTAATAGCCATTTTATCTTTTTCCAGAGGGAAGGGGTGTGCTGAGATGTGATTGTATTTGGCTTCTGTCATCTGGATCACACTCTGTTGTTTTAATATACAGTATTAAGTGAAATCACAGTTTATATAGAGGTAAACTATTGAGCATGTATGTATATCCATCATTGAGAATACTTTGGTGGTTCTTTATTGATCAGAACAGATTGCTAGTTTTTTAGCTCAAGTTGAGAGTTTCTTTTGAAATCTTTAATTTGCTGTATTGAGTTCCTGTTGAGGTAATTGAAATAAAAATGACATGTGAACACATACATATGGTGAATTATGAAGAGTACACGATAGTATTAATACTTAGAGCTCAAGGCTTGAAAATGTCTCTTGAATATGAAAGTATTTCTTGAATTATAGCAACTTGTGAATCAAAATTATGTCTACAGCCATTCTCTTTATTCTGATTATTCTTTTAAGAGAGGTCAGATAGTTACCATTTTTCTATTCTTGTACCTTTAACCTATTTTGGTCTTCCTATGTAAAGTGAGTTTCTTGCAGGTGATAAATGATTAGGTTTTGCTTTTTTATCCGTTCCAGTAATCTCTACCTTTTAATTGGTATATTTAGACCATTTACATTTAATGTGATATTGATATGGTTTGGTTTAAATTTGCCATTGTACTGTTTTGTTTTCTGTTTGTTCCATCTATTCCTTTTTCTTCTTTTTCCTTCTTTTATGCCTTCTTTTGGATTAATTCCACATTTTTTTTTTATGATTTTTATCTTCTCTCCTTTGGCTTATTAGCTATATATCTTTGTTGTGGTAATTCAGTGGTTACTTTAGGGTTTATAGTTTGCATATTTAACTTATTCCTCTCTACCTTCTGATGATGTAATACTACCTCTCATATAATGTAAGAACCTTACAAAAGTCTGTAGCCTCTGTGCTACAGTTGTCATATATTTCACTTGTTCATGTTTAAACTCTACAATGCATTGTTACTATTTTTGCAGTGAATGATTATCTTTTAAAGAGATTTAGATGATAAAAGAATCTTTATATTTACCCCTATAGCTGCCATTTCCATCGCTCTTCATTTTGCCACGTGAATCCTGATTTCCATCTGATAATTATTTTTCTTCTACCAGGAGGACATCTTTTAACATTTTTGTTGTGTATGTTTGCTGGTGATAAATTATTTTTAGTTGTTATGTATCTGAAAAGGTATCTTTTCCCCACCTTTGTTTTTGAAAGATATTTTCAAAAGAATTTTAGGTTGATAGTTTTTCCTTTTAGTACTTTAAAGATGTTGCTCCAGTGTCTTCTAGCTTGCATTGTTTTTCACAAGAAGTGAGGTGTTACCTTTTGGCCTCTGCCTGTGATGTGAGATTCCTCTTTAGCACTGGCTGTTAAGCAGTTTGATTATGGTGTACCTTGGTGTAGTTTTCTTCATGGTTCTTGTACTTAAGGTTTGTTGAACTTCTCAAATCTGTAGTTTGTTAATTTTCATTGAATTTGGGAAGTGTGGACCATTATTTCTTAAAAAACTTTTACATACCGCCCCTGTCTCTGCTCTCCTTCCAGACTCCTATTACACATTCAAGAGACTGCTTCAAGTTGTCCCATAGCTCACTGGTGCTCTGTTCATTTATGTTTTAATTTTTTTTTTCCTCCTTGTTTCATTGTGGATAGTTTCTGTTGCGGTCTCTTCAGTGTCACTCCTTTCTTCTGCAGATTTAATCTGTAAATCCCATACAGTGTATTTTTTATGTCAGACATTGTGGTTTTCATCTCTGAAAGTTTGATTTGGGTCTTTTTAATATTTTTTGCTCTTTTTAATAAATTTAGTCTTTCCTCTAGCTTCTCAAACATATGAAATTCAGTTTAATAACTGTTTTAATCCTTGTGTAATAATGCTTTCATCTTTTTGGGTGATAAGCTGGGCCAAATCGTAGGGCTCACCTAATTTGTTTCTCATATTTGGAAGATCACTGTCTGCTGCTGGGTGCCTAGTGTCTTAAAAATTGTTTTATGTATTTTTTCCAGTTTTTTACTTGTGTCAGATGGGGTTGTAAATATGATCCCTGTTACTCTATCTTGATTGGGAATCAAAGTTCTATTTCTGTTTGTATTGTTTATTCTGCACCATCCCAGTAACCCAAACACAAAAACATACATTTACACACATGCTCCAATAATTTTGAGCTTCATTAGGATAAAGATTACAAGTGTTTTTTGCTCATGATTATATTTTGAACACATAATGGGTTCTTAATACATTTTGTTGATTAAATGAATATATACATGTGTGTATAGTTACATTATTGTAGAATAAACACACATATTTAGGGACATGCTAGCTGCTTGTAAGCAACCCCTAAATTTTAGTGACTTCATCTAAAAGAAGTTAATTTTTATTTATTGAGCATTCTGCAGCAGATGCACATAGTTGATACACAGTTCTTTATGAAATAATTCAGGGATCTGTGTTTTTTCTATCATGGATCTTTGTAATCTTTTCAAATTTTATTGTTATCTGTACCTAACCAATGAGATGAAGGGAAAGGAAAGCTTGGAAAAGGCACACCTGTTTCTAAAAAGCCTTGGCTTAGAAGTGACGCATACTTTTGCTCACATTCCATTGGTGCAAACCAGTTTTCTGCTGATACTTATATGTGTGGTGGGCTGGGAAATGTAGTCCCTGGCTGGGCAATCACTCCCCGGCAAAAAATCCATACTGTGTATAGGGGGAATACCCATGTGATCATTGATTTTGAGGTGCAGGGATTCCAGAGATGATGTAGTTCTTCACTTATTTGGCCTTCCACAGGTCATTGCTGAAGACCAGTTTTGATGGACTTCTGAGGTAGAAGTTGGGCCTTAGTTTACCTTTATTAAAAGGTTGTTTCCTGGACTTTACCCCAGATTCTGCTGAAATAAAATTATTGTGTTGAGGCTTGAGGGTAATGCATTTTTAATAAACTCCCTTGTTCATTCTTGTATTTGCTAAGTGTGATACCTACTGGTATAATGTGTTACTTCCAATTTTTAATTATTTTTCCTTAAAAGAGAATGAAATAACTTGGAAAATAAAATTCAGTGGAATAGCTTGCAGCCAGATAAAGTCACTCAGAAACACATATCTGTGTCAAATTCATATTCAGCATGGTCCTACCAATTTTGTGGCCATGGATGTTCATAAACATGTACAATGTTCTTTCATAAACAGATATAGTTCTCTGTCATAGTACTAACAACATTGTACAAGGCCCTTTAGGGGGCAAAAATAAATTAGATTTGACCCTGTCTTTAGGTGTTTACTAGTTGGGGAGAAAAGACATGTATACATGGTCATGTTTCACTGATTTGAATTGTACATTTTTTTCCCATATTATCCATCATGACACTCATCATTGCCTACTTGTGTGTGAACTTGGTCTTAGTTGTTCATGTTGTGATTAAGACAATTGAATTATGTGAGTTGGGTTCTGTATTTGTTGGTCTTAATTACTGGCTTAAATAACTTCAAAATGACCTCACTATGATAGGACACTAAAACATAAAGGTATTAAAAAAAAATCAGCTTAAAAGAGTTCTCACTGTAAGTATAAAATGAAAATTCTAGTGAAAAAAAATTGTATCGTAGTTTCATTGACAGCATTTTTTCTTTCTTGATATAAAAATGTTTATCTTAAAAACCGCAGACTTAAGTTTGATGGAATATACTTGATCAGAGTCCTGATATTCTGTCTTGAATATCTCTCAAATTTCTTTTCTCTGGTACAACCACTCTAAATTTGTATCTATTGCCTAAAATAC